GCCATGACTCCTCGGCAATGACTCCTTGGCCATGACTCCTCGGCAATAACTCCTTGGCAATGACTCCTTGGTAATGACTCCTTAACTCGAAGGGAGATGGCGCCTTTCCATCAGCCTACAGCATCCTAGAGCGGAGTACAATAACGTAATCGAGTTTGATGAAGAGCAAAGCATGTCGGACGAAACGATCACAAATTTCGATACGTGATGACGTCTCTAATGGGCCAAGCTCCCACGGATCCAGGGCGCGCTCGCCTTCTTCGGCAGGAGAAAACTGTGTTGGTAGAAAATAATAAGAATACACTTTTTCAGGAAATACCGTTATAAGCCACGATGAAGTTTCAGGCGAATGAGGAGTGTTAGGTCTTAGGGAGTTGTTGCAGATTTAATACAAACGACTTTATCTCCATCAACTTAACTGGGGTAAGTGACATGCAGAAAATTATATATATATATATATATATATATATATATATATATATATATATATATATATATATATATATACATTCCTTGACAACTAAATATAGCCCTCGCACACTGAGGTGCAAATATCAAACCGTAACACGTCTAGTGACAAAACAGCTTCCACAGAGATCCGTTTATGACAAGCTCGTAAAAGGAAATATTTATTGTACTTTTATTCTGAGGACTCATAGACAGTAGAGTTTTCTTTCTAAGCTTCAATAGTTCCGTGTCGTAGCTTCATTTCGAAGTATTTCGTCATATCATTTGGATAGGTCATTGTTTCTCTTTCCTCTAATACAAAATTAATCTAGTTTCATTGTGTCTCATTGTTTTCAATGCCATCAAGTAGTCAGAGATGTTTGTGAAGAACATAATATTCCATTGTTGTTCCACTTATTGCAAAATCATTCTGACAGGCTTTAAATTGTAACCTTCTGCGATATATATATTCAAATTTATGAATGCAAAATCTTTAATGGACATCACCAGCCACTCAGAGATTTCAAAAATATAGAAAAATACAGATCTTTTATTGGACATTTAAACAGAAGAGTGTGCGGTGAGTCAGTTGTAACTAATTAAATGACTTTCTTACTTATTAAATACTACTTATTTTAAGTTGCATCATATACTTACACTACTGAAATAAATCGATAAAGTGATACTTCGGAACAAGAGTTTTCATTTTGGAAATACATGTATTAAATACATTTTATGTAGGGTAATGTCGATGATTTTGGTTTTCTTGTGGCTTCGATATCAACAGCAACCGTACTTACAAGCACCTTACCCAACAGCAAGATTTACACAACTGTCCGGAGCACTAATTAACACTGTTAGGCAATCGCGGCAACTTGTCTCCAAACACAAATGGAGCCTATTAGTACCATATTCCCACAGCGTTCAGTGCTGCTTGTTTCTGTAGAAGATTTTCCTCGAATTTTTCCGTACTTGAGGAGAGATTATAAATAATGAAACCAACAATACATTATTCAATAATTCTGCAGCTGAAAACATAGTTCTAGAGAGTAAATGTTCTTATTACCTTCTATTATTAAGCTTAAATTAAAATACTGTTAATATTTTTGTTCGCACACAATAAAACAAGTCCTTCACTGATAGGACTTTTTGTAGTTTTCTTGAAAGAGCCTGAAACTTGAAAACACTCAAGAGTTCCATATTCCTCGCATCAAGCTTTTCAGCGCAAGCTAGTAACCATCTGCAAGAATAGAGTAAGTTTTTATTATCTCAAACGCCGAACATTTACCATCTGCAAGCTGTCTGTTTGCGCCCCAACTGCACGGCACTTTTTTTCACACCCGCCGGCACTGTGTAG